TCTAATGGTTACCTTGTTGGATGGAAAATTTCTCCCCCAAATATCATCAGGTTAGTGATTACCGCAGACGTTTTTATTGTAATGCATGCACATTATGAGTAATTAAAGCAAGAGAGCCTTCTTCATTCATTATGAAATTACATGGTATTTTATTTAATAAATATAATGTGTGCAACCCAGGTAGGCACTGATGGATGTGGGTCAATTTCATCCCTTTTACATTCCAAACTGCCTTGGACATGTATCCTGTCCTGTAAGTGAAAATCTGTCCATGAGATAACCATCCCATAAGGAAATCACAAATCAAAGAATATGTGCTTTCTAAATTGTAATATTGCCATATCACTCTTCAATGATGTGGTATTAAATAATGTGCCCACTAGTGACATTTAAGAAGGAATTTCTCCACACTTTGTCAATATTTATCAAACTTTAAAATAATTCTGACCATCTAACAATTGAAAATGTCTGTTATGGCTTGGATCTGGAGTGTCGCCCAAAGTCTCCTGTGTTCAAAGGTGGGCTTTGGAGAAGTGGCTGGATCGTGAGGGCTCCGACCTCATCAGGATTAATCCACTGGGGCTGAATGGACCACTGGGAAGTGGGATCCAGCTGGAGAGAGAAGATCACAGGGGCCATGCCCTGGAAGGTCTCTCGTCCCTCTGTCCCCTCGTTTCCCTCTGCTTCCCATCAGCTATAAGCTGGACAGCTTCTCTCTGCTGTGCCCTTCTGCCACAATGTCCTACGGCCTTGGGCCCAGAGCAATGGAGCCAGCTGACCATGGACCGAACCTCTGAAGCCATGAGCCAAAATAAACGTTTCCTGCTCTAAGTTGCTCTTGTGTGGTATTTTGGTCACATTGATAAAAAACTGACTAACACAGTCTCCTTGTAGTTTTTATAGTATATTTTTTTTAATAAGCAATGTTGAGTTTCTTTTTATATATTTAAAAATGTCTCTTCACATATTTTGCCCAATTTTTCCTTTGGGTTGTTTTTATTTTTTGCTCATTTGCAAACCCCATCGCATTGTCTATGATATATGTTATAATAATAGTTTATTATATTGTGTTGTTTACTTTGTTGCTACTATTTTTTTTTGCCATATGGTAAGTTTTAAATTTTTTATGAAATCTGATATAACATTGCCAGTATTATTGGGTTTTTGGTTTTGCTCCAGATATCTTCCCTGCTCTGAGGTTAATAAAATTTTTACATCCTCTTTAAGTATTTTCAAAGGTTTATTTTTTAAATTTCCTTCTCAGATTCATCTGGGGGTTAATTCAATGTAAGCAATAAAATGTGAATCCAAATTCATTATGTTTCTCAGGTGCTAGATAGGCATTACACATACATTCAGATGCTTTTGAATATTTGTGTGTTGATTCTAGTTGTTCAGCATCGCATGTTAAAAATCACCAAGAGTCATCAATGATAGTTTTAAAAGAATATAAATAAGTCTTTGAAAATATTTAGAATTTTAGAATTATTAAATCCAAACAGAAAATGATGAGATAAGATGATGTTATAGACTGAATGCTTGTTTCTCCCCAAAATTCATATGTTGAAGCTCCAACATGCAATGTGATTGTGTTTGTATGTGGGGCCTTTAGGAAATTATTAGGGTTAGATGAGTCACAGAGTGAGGCCTGGTCTGATTATGATCAGTGCCCTTGTAAAGAGAGACCAGAGAGCTTGATCTCCTATGCTCATTGGAGATGCCATGTGACCACTCATATGGGGAACCCCAATTCTGGATTTCCAGCCTTCGGGCTTCCATTGCATAAGTCATTCCATCTGTGGTATTTTGTTATGGCAGGTTGAGCAAACTAAGATAGGTGTTTTACTTATTTACCAATTAAAACAATCCAAATAATGCTTGCATGAAAATAGAAGAATTATGCATTAGACTTAGAGAAGAACTTCCTGACAATTAGATTGAGAAAAGTACTGAAATGAGCCACTGAGAGTCTCCTGAAGATTGTAGGGTAAAAGAGTGGTGGAGAAAGACGCAATGAACAAATTCTTTTAATCCTGGAAAGTTAAAGCATGCACCCATTTGCATACAAGAAATTTTATGCTCTGATTCATTAAATTTTTTTATAGTTACAGAGATGAATACCAGCTGCCACCCACTTCATATTGATGTGTGGTGCTTCTACATGAAGTCACTGACCTACCGATCTGTGACTACTTTTTACTTCAGGGGTTAATATTTGAGAAAAAAATAATGGATATGATATCTAGGTGGCAAGGTGGACTCTTCTTCATAGTGTTTAATTCCACTCAATGAAACAACTTATGTTTGAGTTTTGCCAAAAGGTTCAGCTGATTTCCGCTGACATTGAGTACTGAGAAGTCAAGCTGGACCCAGAGTGAAACCTTCACACACAGTCACACCCAGGTGACTCAGCTTTGATTATGCAATTGAGTGGCCTTCACTGCCATGTTCCTGAGCTCCAAGCCTTTCTTGTGTTGGAGAACAGATGTTCAAAAGTTCCAAAAGGAGTCGGGGGACACATGTAGCCCCTCTGACCAGAGGTCCTGCCTCCATAGTCTCATGACATAGGAGACTTTTTGTTCCTTGTGTGTGCCCGCACAACTTTGAAATGTGACAATAACCTTTGATTTATAGTTGGTGAATGTGGAAAATCATTTTGCAGAGAGTCCTAAAGGGACAGGAACAGTGAGACCCTCATCATGAGGAGTGTGAGCTGAGGAAAGGAAACAGAGCGGGACTTACTGAGATGTCTTTCCTGCAATGTCCCACCTGAAAAAGGAAAAAAAGAAATGCAAATGCTGCTGGGAAGGAGAGCTGCCTGCAGTCCCAGCACCTCTCACTTCACGTGGCTGGGGTGATGTTTCACATACCCACTCCCAGATAGAACCCTTCGAGACAGGGAAACCACAGGTGCACAACAATCAGCAGATGCAACCAGCAAGGGCCAGAGCCGTCACTGTCCCATGAGCATGTGTTCTTCAAGGAAGCCTGTCAAGTAACTCAGTTTGGGCCACACAGTCCCCACCTTGTGACCCAGGAACACCATGCTAGCCAGCTTTCCCTTTGGCCTAGGTAGGTAATCCCCCATTACAGCACATCGGTGACTTGGAATCTTGGGTCATTGGAAAGTTCAGGCTGACCAGGGCCATCCATCAACAGGTCACCTAGGTTAACTGCTGCTAAGCACCAGAGGTGTGCACAGAAGCAATCAATTGAGATGGGATGCTCGGCTCCTTCACTGAGGGGCACCACAGCAGGCGGTCGATGAGACCAACACAGGATTCTTCCCCTTGACGCGCCACTCTAGTCAGCCCTCTCATTTTATTACTGCTCTCTCCACCCCACTGGGGCTTCTAAACCAGGTAGACCCCACAATAGCCTTAATTCATTACTCTGTAAATGCAAAAGCACTTTCCTCCAAGCCAGTGAAACTGCCTCCTTGGGTTAGGTTTTCTTCTCTAGCCCTCTGAATCATGTCCTGACAAGTCTATGGCTACATATTTCAAAGGACTAAGTTTATGGTGAGTAGTCCAGCAAGCAAGGCATTCTCTACCTGTAGGGCTATCTCTTAGCAAGACAGATAGAGCTGAACAACCTGGCCACCCCGGCAGCCCAGAGAGCACAGACCTGGAATTCGGAGCTACATGCAGGTCAGCTCCTGAACATCTCCAGAAACCACAGTTCACCCATCTGCGTGTCAGTCCTCCAGTCATCTCTCTGTCCTCACTGCTCTGTGTATGTCTTAGAAAAATTTTCCTGGACCAGTTAAAAAGACAAGTGAGTCGATTTAAGACTCGTTACTTCAAATTGTACAGACGAAGTACCAACATCTGGGAAAGACTATGGCAATAGAAGAGGAAGCTTAAACTCGACTCCATAGAAACAAAAGGAGAGATTTTCGGTTCTGGACTGGACTATGCGCAAGTACTCAGGGCACTGAGGATAGGTTGACCAATGGAGGCATGGGGCCATCTCTGGCGCTTATTGGCACCTGTCAGAGGTAATCTCTGGCCTTTCCACAGACTGGGAGCTTGGGGAATGCTATCTTCCTTGATGACTGTATTTCAAAGGTGTAGCTCCCAGATCCTCCCAGTACAGCTGGATTGTAAAACTGGCAAGAGGCTGGGAGAAGATCATTTGCACATCAAAGGGACAGACAAATAATTTATAGTTGCAAGTTTTCTAAAATATGTGCACTGAGAAAAGGGAGACCAGAGGGTCTGGTGTTTAGTCCAGCTTGAGGGCACACCTGGGTATCCTGTTCTTGTGCCCCATGAACTTCCCTTTATTTCCCCCACAACTTCTGATCACTGGTCATGGGCCAAACAGCCTCCTCTCGTTTCTCAACACTTCAGCATCAACTGCCGCTGTTGGGCAGGGCAGGAGGCTGCTTTGCTAGAGCAGACAGAGCCTCAGAATTCACAGGCTCCCCCATTTTCTTTTTTTTTTTTTCATTTGATCTCAATTTTTCTGCTCACCTTTCTGGCTATTTGGGAAAGCCAATCATCTAAGTTTATCTACTGTAAACATCAATCTTCCTTTCTTTTGAGCATGTTAGTCAATGTTCATGAACTACAGATTGAGTTATTAGCTACCTCTTTACTTCTCTGCAGTTACATAGACAGTTACAAGTCACTGTGCATGAACTGATGAGATACATTTTTGCAAGAATATGTTTTCAGTAAAAGCATTTTATTTTCTTACTAATTTCTCTATACAAAACACCATCATTCCTTAACATTTAACTTTAGAGCTAGTATTCACTTATTTGCAAAGATCCCATATCATTCCTGTAATCTCCTAGAAGAAATAAGCAATAAAAAGAAAATGCAATGTGTGTATATATCTTATAGGATTCATGTGCTTGCATGTTCCCAAGCAATAGAACTATATCTGTATCTGTGTCTGTATCTATATCTGTGCTTGCATTGATCCCAAGCAATAGAACTGTATCTATATCTGTATCTATATCTCTGTTTCTTTAGCTATATATATATATCTGTATCTGTATCTATATCTGTATCTGTATCTTTATCTATATCTGTATATATATCTGTATCTGTATTCATATTTTTAACTGTTTCTATATCTGTGTCTTTATTGGTATCTATATCTGTGTCTATATTGATATTTATATCTATATATCTCTATCCACTGGTTAGACTTTCTTTTCCAAGTAGTGTATAACTGCAGAGATGCAAGTAAGTTACTCAGGCAAGGTGAAAATGGAATGTTTTATTACATTTTTGCAATAACAGTGTCTTCTAGGAGGGTTGGATTCAGCTGCAAATTTTAAAAAATTAAGCCACATAAAACTGTAGGTTTAATAACACATTTAAACTGAATTATTTCTCTTTAACACAAAGGAAAATCTGAATAAGTAGGCATGGGCTGGTGGGCACCTCCACACTCCTGGGCCCAGGCCTCCTGTCTGCTGGCAGCTGGCACTGCCTGGCTCCTTCTGCAGGAAGGACGGAGAAGGTATGGAAGGGGAGACTTTTTAAGAGCTCTTCTGGAAGTTGCATAGAACAATCCTCTTGCTTCTCCTAGGCCCCAAACGGAGCCATACAGTGTTGTTAGCCTAGGAAAGGCTGCAGACGTGGCATCTTAACTTGGCAGCCACACCCAGCTAGAAACCACAGCACCCATCACCCACAGTCAAGATCTGGTGCTGGGGAGACTCAGCAAAGCTCGCCACACTGTTTCTCTAGGAAGACACTTGTTCTGTTATTTAAATGTCCCTATGAACAATTTCCGGTGTCCATGCCTACCCTTTTCTGGGTGTAGAGCAGTGAGCGGATGCAGGAAACAAGCCCATATCAGGCCTTTGGAAGTTAACAAAAGTAGTGTCATTGCTCAGATTGATGAACACTTACTATGCACCTGGCATCATCCTAAATGCTTTACATGCACCACTGATAAGAACACGTGATGGATCTCACAGAACACAGCTGAGATGGGAACTAACAACTACCTTTCACAGACAAGGCCTCAGTGCACATTGAGGCTGCCCTGGCCCCTCTTTCTTCCCAAGCTGGTTGTCTTCTGCTGACACCATGCCTAATCCAAATTGATATCCTAGAAGTACCATTAAAAGTAGCATTAAATTTGAATTTCTGTGTGATTTATCTAATTCACAATCAGCATAAGTCCTTAGAGATAGCCACTATAACTGTATACACAGATGGAACATTTTAATTTCCATTGTTACCATTCTATCTAGTAATTTGAATTAGCAAATTGTTTGGCAAGACAAGACTTGTGTGGGTCAAACCACAGAAGATGTCTGAGTTATTTAAAAATTCCCCAGTATGCTTGTAAATGCAGTTTAGAACTTTCTAAGGAAGTTCTACTAAATTCCCCAAACTCCATTTCTCAGCAAGTCTTCCCATTTTTTTTCTTTTCTTGATATACACCCACATTTTTAAAACCTTCGTCAAAATTGGAATGTTTGGTATAAAAAATGTGGATCCCTGATTCCCATCTTTTACTTTTTGACCAATAAATTAATTAACACAGAGGATTCTGAATAAACCTCAGTGCACACTTGCAAATGTCGTGCATTTTGGACCCTTTTTGTGGACAGCAACTAGATTTTGAGAGCCCTCACTGAGCCCACCCCTGTCCGCCCTCTCTCTTCCTCTTGCAGCAAGCAGGGTCTCAGCACCAAAGCTCCTTCCTTGGGAAGTGGTCCTGGGTCCCATTCTGCCTCCAGGCTGTGCTGGGACCAGTCTAGCCATGTTATACTTGGTCTCCTGTGACTACCCTGTCCACCAGATCCAGGGGTCCAGAGTACAAGCACTTTGCTGCCTTTCCTGAATACCCGGGGCCCAGCCTGGGACTGGATACATAGCAGGAACTGCACCAGTGCTTACCGGTGAGTAAACCGGTGGATGAATATGGCTCCACTGAACTCTCTGGAGAAAATGCTGCACTATGGCACACATTCCAGGGCAGGAAACTCATTTGCATGTAAAAATTTTCAGAGAATGTGGTTTATGATTCTTTACTAACCATATGGTGATCATATGGTATTCCTCATGAGTTCAGAAACTTCCCCTAAAAGATATTAGATTGGCCCATCACAATGCGGCTTATAGAAACATTCTGTAATATCTCACTGGATTTTCACACCCAGATATGGGGACAAAATATAAGACTTTACCCCATTTTAATGGCGCAGCATCACCAAGTTACGGAGCTGAGGCTGACTCACTCTGGGTCCTCTCATGGGCCAGCTCTGCTCCTTACAACACAGGTGACTTCTCTCCTGCAAGTTGCAAGCACACTTAGGAGAATGCCGTGGGGACTACAGCTCAGAGTCTCTTCACACAGCATGACTGTTTTTTAAAAATCCAAGATAGAAGGGTCTGGAGGAAAATCTGATTGACTAATAGTGAGGGGAGATTAGTTTTGAATTGTCTTTCCCAGGTTCTATGTTGTGATAGAGTCGAGGGCCCCAGGGTCTTTACTCCTGCTTAGCCTGGGTGAGTAGACACCTGGAGGCCTGTTTCACAGCCTTGAACACGGCTCGTTTTCATCCTTAATACACAGGATCCTCACTCATGCACCTTCATGGAGTCTGTCCATTTCTTTGATCATTTTGCCTTTTGTCAGAGAAGCAGGGAATTTCTGCAAGTGAGTGGACTCTATCTGCTCGTTATCCTGAAATAATAAAGCTATCATAATCATAAAGATAATAAGATGATTATCCAAAATCATGTTTGATGGCAAAAAATAATGAGGAATAGTTCAGTAGAAATAAATGACCCGAACAATAGTAATGTGGACTCAGAAGATACTTCTGGAAATAAACTCCAGCCACTTTCTTGACGTGCATAGAATTTTAAATAGTATAAAAAATACTTTGTTCTCTTCCAAGAAGTTGTTAATATATTTATAATGGCTAATTTTTCCTAAATTTAAGAGGCCAGGGTTGGTGCTTCAACACATACCTGCATGTAGTATCCAAGTAATCCAAGAAGAAAGGAAGGAGTTAGTGAGTGAACGCGTGGATCGCTCACGCCTCAGTGGGTTCCAGAGGCTCAGTCATGCAGCCCACGTCCTGTCCCCTGCAGGCCACGAGGCTGCCTTCCCCAACTGCTGCTCTGGTATGACCACCTCCACTGCTCTGGATGGACAGGAAGGAAGGGCAGGCGTCACTTCCTACTTCCCTGGTGGACATGGATCTAGATGTTTTTTCTCAGATTAACTTTGCAAAGTTTAGAGGAGTTAAATGGAAGGGTAGCCTCTGGGATGATGAGCTCAGAGGGACCTGGCAGTGAAAGGGGACATGGGCCAGGAGCCCAGAGAAGGCCACTCTTTCTGAACAGACAGGGCCTGGCTGTACTCCCAGACACAGTGTCCAGCAGGGAGGCCCTGGCCCTGGACAACTGAGATTCTGGAGTTCAGCCATGGAGGGCTCTCTCAGGCCCACCACCTGGTGCAGGGAAGGGACTATGGTCCCTCTGTGTGTGTCAGCTGATGAAGACTTGGGGCCAGCGCCAGGTCTCTGTGGCCAGGTGACTAATCAGCTCAGTGGGACCACATTTCCCCTCCTTTCAAAAGGTGAGACCTGTGAGGCCGTGGAAGATCTCTTCCTGCTGTCCACTCCTGTAAACAGCCCAAAAAAGGAATGTGTCTTGAACCCTGCTGGTCTACACTGTGCCTCAGGAATTAGCACGGCCTATGTGGGCCATGCCGCCATCCAAGCCAGGCCACCCAAAGGTTGAAGGAGCAGGGGCGGGGGCAGGGGGCGCAGGAGAGGGGGAGGGGGATGCTGCAGCCTTCCCAGAGTTCAGGGAAACATGGCTTTTAAGCCTGGGGTTGAAAGCACCACGTGGTGAAGCTCACGGAGGAAATGGAACCAGCCTGCTTTCTAGGACACCACGTCCCAGTGAGGAACCTTAATTCACCTTCCATCCTCTAGCTCAGAAGTCACCGTCTGCATGCTTTCAGATCAGTTCTGCAGGGCTCAAAGGTATCATTGCATTGTATAGCCACAAGTGGCCGTGTGCAAAGTTCATGAGTGGCCTTCAAAGATCCATCAATAACCAGGCACTTTACACACTTCAGCCAGTGTGTGTGTGTGTGTGTGTGTGTGTGTGTGTGTGTGTGTGTGTCCAGGTGGTGCTCCACGATCGTCTTTTCTCAGAAGGGGTCAGTATCAAAAAATGTTCAATCACAAGTTCACAGTGTTGAAAAAACTCCCTGGATAGATGGACAACTGGGTGGGGAGGAGGAAACTCTCACCTCCGCAGGCGAATGCCCAGGCACCAGCAGAAGAGGGGCTGGCGGACCTCCACTTCCACTCCACGGCCATGCTGCGACCACTGCATGCATGAGTTGTCACAGACAGCAAGGTGACTGAAGAAAGAGGACATGCTCTCAGCGGTCAGAGTCTTCACGTGGGCTGTTAGCTATGCGGAGGGGAGGATAGTCGGTCTGCATTGGGAAACAGCAGTTAATGCCTCCAGGGCTCTACCCTGTGTATCCAAGTGAACTGCAAAATTTAATTATAGATTCATAACATAATGAAGCATACACGGAGAGTTTTGTTGTTGTTGTCCTGAATTTTGGCTAGAGCTTCAAAGCTGAGAATCATAGATGTCAAGTTGTCCCCCATTAATGCACATTTGAACTAAGAGATCGGGCACAAAATCCCAACAAGTCTGTGCTGCCATGTTTAATTCCCCCCCCCCCCATTACATCTACTCTGTGTACGTCAGTCTACTGCGTGAGCCTATGTTCCCAAGTGAGGCTTCAGTGGTGACTGGCAGTGTGTGGGGGTCTGAGTGCTGTCTCTGGCCGTCCTGCTGACTCTGCACCCCTTCCCCACCTCCCCTCCTTGCTCTCCCTGGGTTCTGCTCCGTCACAGGCTCCTGCCCTGAGGCTGCATTTCCGGTGGCTCCTGACCTTCAAGTCCAAGGCAGGAGATAAGGAGGTGAGTAGAAGAGAACTGCTGGAGTCTCAGCTGGGGCTGCTGGTTCTTCTGTAGCCCCACCTTGGTGACCCACTCCTGCCCCTGGATCATGTGCATTGCTTCCTCCCTGATCTGCAGGCTGGGGTGGGGGGGGGTCATGGCTTCCTGCTGCTGCCAACCACAGGATGCCCATCTCCTGCTGCTTCCTCATGGAGCCACCAGCCTCCTGAATTGAATCCCTTCCACTATATCCTTGATTAGAGTGTTGAACTGGCTGGATACTGGCTGATGCAGCTACAGTGATCCCCTACAGGAAAGAAGGAAAGAAGTTGGCCACAGACTCTCACAGACACACCTGTAATGTGAAGGGTTCTCAGGATGCTCCCCTGTCTCACCAATTTAATGGGACAGTTATGTAACAGGGATTTCTGACTTTTTCAGGATTGAGAATCCAACTAAGGACTGCACAGTGATGAAATCCACATTTGTTCCGCCAGAAGTGGATATTGGCTTAGGAAGTAAATGGGCCATGGTATTTGCATATTACAATCAATCTCTGATGTCAAATACCACATCTGAATTTTAATGAGGTTCAGAGATGCTCGTTAGTAACTCTTTCCAGCTCCCATCAAAGAAATAACACTAAATGGCATCAAAGGCAGAATGTGTGTGGTTGATTAGAAATCAATTTCATCAATTGGTTAGATGATTAGATGCTTCTGGAATGTTCCATGAGGACCTATCATGATGACTGATTAGAAAGCTGCTTTGGGTTAGATAAGTTTTATGCTCCCTCCTAGACCTAGGCACTGGAGAGACATTCAGGTAAATTATGGCAATTCCTGGCACGTGGCCATCGGCAACACGGAAACTCCACAGCTTCCCTAACACCTCCCTCTCAGTCCGTGTGGGTGTGAGAGCCACAGCTGGGGGCTTTGCGGTGTTTACTGAATGCCTGGCTCTCTTCCCAGTGCTCACCTTAACTCCCCCGCTCCATCTTCCAAGAACCCTCTCATGCAGGTAGCTTTGTTTTCTCCCCTGAGAGACGCCGTCTGTCCCATGATGGACGGGTGATGGTCAGCTGAGCACAGGGATTGACACTTCCAATACTGATGAGGACGTTTCCTTGATCCAAACTCTGGAAGGAAGAGAAGGAAGTGTTGAGAGGAAGTGAGCAAAGAAGGGGATGAGGGAGAGCAGAGTGTTGCCCTATTGTATCTCGCCCTGATTCCACAATCGCAGGCGCCTGTGAGGTAAGCAACAGCATTCGAATCATGGGGATGAACACACAAGTTCAGAGACTGAGTCTCCTGCCCATGGTCACACAGCTACAGTGTGACCATACTAAAAGAAAACAACACTGGCCTCGCCCTCCTTTCCATTACAACATAGGGGTTGCACTTCACGGGACGCTCAATATCTGACTATAGGTATTTTAAGACAGAGACGCTCATGGCAGAAGCTGTCACCGTCCACACGGGGTGTCATGCTCATGGCTTTCTGTGGGGCTCTGCTGTGATCCTCTCCTTCCATAGACGGTATTTGTGGACCTGCCCCGAACGCACTGTGCTGAGCCCTGAGCTGCAGCCAGGATCCTCTGGATCTCAACCTGCGTCTCTGGCTTAAGAAATACAAGATGATGCAGCACCTGTGGGCCCTCTGCAGCAAAGGAGACAGCTTCCCTGGTTGACAAAATCCAGTCAAGGTCGCTCTGATTATTTGTTCTTTTTCTGCCAGAGACAGCAGTCACCCTCAGGGACCGATTTCAAACCTGCTAATAAAGCCACTCTGGAGCCTGTGTGCGCTCTCTCTCTCTCTCTCTCTCTCTCTCTCTCTCTCTCTCTCTCTCTCTCTCTCCTCTTTCTCTCTCTCTCCCCTTTCCCCCACTCATCTAGGAATAATAGCGGCAGACATAAGACTGTTAGGCAGTAATTCCACTAAATTATGTAATTCACCATGCCACACTGTTAAAATACAGTGATTAGTTCTCTGAATTACCACTAAAATTACTAAGGCCCCAGCATGGGTTCTTTCCCAGAGCCTTCAATTTATGGCAAGTGTCGAAAGAGCCTGACCACATCGACGGCTCACGAACAAAAAGAGGCATTGATAGGAAGGGAAAGGGAAAGAAATGTGGCACAGAACGCACTCTGCAGCTCATGTGCTTTCCCACTGGGGCAGATCAGGAGAAGGCAGGTGGGAGAGAGGCTCTGGCCCACCCCTGGCACAGCCCGCTCTGCACCCCCCACTCAGCAGGCAGGAGACAGCGTCACCACTGGATCTGGGCTTGTTCCTCCCCGCTGGTCAGCCCAGCCTCCTGAACACAGCCTCATGAGTTAGATTTCACCACGAGGGCCATCCTCAAATTCAGAGTTATGTAGGGATCTCTCCGTGGGCTTCCTTTGTGATTTTGGTAATACACTGATTTTGTTAATTTTCCTTCATATTTTTATTGTATGCAAAGTCAAAAGAAACAATGTTTGTGCATCAAACGAGGCAGAAGGCACAGATGAGGCAAGGTCAATCCAGGCACTGGGCGCAGGCATAGCTAGTATTCCAGATCAAACTCGCCTGCAAGAACAGAGGACCACGGGATGTTGATGGATAGGAGGACTGGAAAACTCTGCAGGTTCAAGAAGCAGTGAGGAATCCAGAGCACTAGGAAGGCAGTGACACAGACCTTTGTTTTGGAAGTGCCCATGCAAGGTATGGAGGAAGCACTCACACAGCAGTTTCTATGGTGGTGATAGAGAGATGACCTTGAAGTTGGTCCAGAAACATCAGGTCAGATGAAAGATGGGGAGCTAGCTGCTCTGTGCAATTTGCCCCAAATTCACAAGACTTGGCACTTTTCAGGTAGAGGTACAATGGTGGTAAGCGGGAAGACTCCTGGACTCTGAACAAGACTGCTTCCCGCTAGAGCAAGCCTGGGGCACAGACATCTGGTTGTCCGAGGGACAAGTCCTGCTTCCAAGTACAATGTACTTATTCCAACTTGTTGTCATAGAATAATAATGATTTGTACCAATCTTTAAATTGCAGGAATATTCCTAAAAAAATCTCTCTATTTATCTCCTCTTGAAAATTAGAGGGTCTGACCATAGGGGGTCAAGAAAAGCAGTGGCCTTGAGGTTTCTGCTTGCAGTGATCCCAACCACCTTCATTTCCTTAGGGGTTTGCCCTTGTAGGAATGCAAGTTTGTGACCTCTTTTCCAGGGATTGGACTTCAGTATTACTCAGAATGACATATAAAGCCCAAACTATGAATGCCATATAGTAATATTCTTTAGGAATTACTAAGATCCACAGGTTTTAGTCTTACAAAGTCTCTTAGACATGCTTTAATTGAAAGCATCAAGTTACAGAACAATAAATATAGAATGATTATATTTAAGTTAAAAACCATTTGTACATGTACATAAATTATTAAGAGACTAGGTTCAAGAAGGGCACATACCACCCAGAGTGAGGATGGTCAGTGTGGGTAGGAGAGGACTCTGCCTTTCTACTTGCATTTCTGTCTTCTTTAAACCTTTAAGCATAAGATTATATTCTCTCACATTAAGATTAAAGTAGAAGGTGAATAAATGGGGCACCTTCCCCTTCTCACCAAGCGGGGGACTGTGAGCTAATGAGCCTGTGTATGTAAAGAGCACTCATCAGAGAACAAGTGCACAGTGCCACAGTAGAGCGTGTTCTGCAGCAACAGCCTTTTTAAGGTTTCAGTAGACTAGCTGTGCATTCCAGGAGCTGACCAAGGGTCCTTACTGAAAAGAAGAAACCACACGTCCCAGGTCAGCTTCACAGTCATGAAGGACAGCTTCAAAGAATAAACATCAAGAACACTGGCTAGAGTATTTTTGGTAAAACCTTCTCTTTTCCCAGATTCAGTAGACCCATAGTTTTTGAGTTGTGCACTAGGATGAACTTCTTTCAGAAATGGAAAGATAGGATTAATTTTACCAACAATCTGCTTAGTGTACAGTGCCACCCAGAACTAGAGGAGGATATTCTCACTATAGTTTGGACGATCTGGATGAGGAAAACCTGAGAATGCAGGCACAAACACAATTTCAGCCTCCCATTTTCTGGCCCAGGTCTAATTTGAAATGTTCTGAGTGGTGGAACTTGTAGCCATCCTCCTGAGAGGCTTTCTATTAATCAGATATTTTCTATTATCAGGGAACATTTCCTGACATTCAGTCTAAAATGTGATCTTTCTTGTGGCATTATAAAATTTAGATAATTAAATTGTCCTATTAGCAGATCAGAAATGATAGTCATCTTGTTCTCCATTTTCCTGTTGTTTTGGATGATCATGTGGCTCTAAAGCAACTGGGAGATGAGTTGGTTTTCTTTGTTTTGTCCGCTGTCCCATAGATTGGGGAAGTTGGATAGAAAGCAGGATCCAGGGCCATCATGGGCCACCACACCACTGTCTCCATCAGGGGCTGTGCCTGAGCAGGACACCTTGGGCCTAGGAAAGCTGACTTTCACCTCAGCAGGGCACACGTCTGCTCACGCACTTCCCTTTGCTCAGCTTTCTCCTGCGAGAGAAAGAGGGAGGGAGGGAGGGAGAGAAAGAGGGAGGGAGGGAAAGAGAGACAGGGAGGGAGAGAGGGAAGGAGAGAGAGACAGGGAGGG